CAGCAGCCATTCACGAAGGCAAATGAGCGTTTGTGGCACCTGCATGGCCTCGTGTACTGGTGCTTTCTAAGCACTTCGACACTTCGATGTACACACTTAAAAAGTCAGAAAGTTGAAAGTCGTTGGCGCAAAGCTGTCGCCTTTCACGTTGCACCAAGCCGGAATGACTGCAGCTTCTGCGTCTCCTGAAGGTTTTCGAGTGCAAGTGGTAGACACGCCATGTACGGCAGGGCACTCGCTGTATCCTGCTGTGCAGTGTTGCACTTCACAGTGCTGGTCTTGTTCTGTTGAAGCCGCAATGTCCACATGCTTGCCCCTGGGCAGAACGGCATCTTGACAACCCGAAGTCCTGACTACCCCTCCGCAAGGTCTGCCGCTAAAGGGGTGCATGCTTGCCCTGGAAGAGTCCGAAGGGTTCGCCTTCGTTTGCAGGGAACCTGTATCCTCCAAGGGACCAAAACAGCCGTTGTTTGGAAAAGCATGAATTTCAGTCGCTGCTCAGGACAATCGTTTCTCGCCATGTTTGGGCAAAGCATGGCAAAGCAGCGGTCGGCCAAAAGCACGTGTTGGCCGGGAAAGAGCGCGTTTCGGTCCCCAAAGAGCGCCGTTATCAAACATCAGTCCACGTCTCATTCTGCAGTAAATTCGAAAAGGCTCGAGAACACGTATTTAGTTCTCGGACACGATAAAAACTGTTTTCTTCACGAGAACTGAAATTTTGACAGCCTCGGAAGGTCCAGGAATGGTTGAGGTTCGCCGTGTGGCCTTGCTTGGCACGACATGTTCTGGTCTGGGGGAAGGGGGCGTGTAATCAAAGCGTTCTGAGATTTTGGGGCTCCGCAAGAAGCGGGGTCTGCTACGTTATGAAAAGGTCAGCACCCAGACTGGAAATATTTTGAGAGCAGGCGTTTGCAGTGAACTTTGGTAGGTGTCGGAAGGGAAACCACCGAAGCCTGGGCATTCTACGACTCGCCTTGTGTGATGCCGTGGCCCAGCTCCTGACGCATCCCAGAGCTTGGAAGGGTTTTGCTCGTGTCGGGCTGCCCATGGCTGCCCCGTCTTCCATGTGCCTTGAGCTCCAATCCACCTTCAGCCAAGTCTTGCAGGGCTGATGAAGGCCTTGTAGAAGGCTACAACCGCAAGGACGCGCCCCCCCCCCCCCAGAGCGAACGGGAAGAGTGATGAATAGTGGGAGTCGGGGTGTAATGTGCTCGTGAGGCTTCAGTCGCTGGCTACCTCATGGCTCCCTGCTCCCACACTGTTGAGACATGTCGCCGTTCATGGGTTCAGGGCATCTGTCAGCTTCAGCATTGGGACCGCGCAGGATGCCGACTGTGCCTGCACACAGTTTTTGAGTTACCGAGGTATCACGCACCCTCGCCTGGCACTGCTCGAAACGGGATCTTGGGGATCTCGGGGATTCTGGGGTCAGCCCAAAAGACTGCTTCGTCTGCTCTCGTCTGCTTTCTGCGCTCCGATGACCCCCAGGCAGTCGGTAACTTTTGGTGGACACCAGTCCTGAGGGCTCTGGCAGCTCCGAGGCCCTCGCCCGCTTCTCCGTCTCTGTGTAGAAGGAATCCGTTTCTTTGTGCACGTAAACGGGCCCTCTACCACCGAACAGACCCCAGGTTCTTTGCCGGCCTTCGTGCGGCTCCCCATTGTCTCGATATCTGCGCCCTCAGCATGCAGTTCTGTTCGCTGAGTGTGCTGAGGGCCAAACCTTGAGAGCCAAGGTTGGGAGAAGCAGTTGTCCCGCGTGGCGGGTGTAGGAACTTGACGGTGTGCAGGCCGATGTGTGAAGAGGATGTTGGTCTCCTTAGGCAAGTGCTCGGAAACTGAGACCACGGCCAGCCTCTTCGAATGCTCCCGAATCGAGCAGGCTCGCGCGCAACCCTCAAACCCTTCGATGAGGCGTTTCGCTTAAGATGGAGTTCCGAGTCTCCCCGTCTCGAACAGCTTCGTCGCCAGAATCCCCACCAGAGCTGCAGATGCACCTACTGCAAGCCAGCTGCGGGCACCCAAAGCCTGCGAGGGAGTTCAGCCAACCTGCGGCACACGCGGATGTGGAGCCCAAACATCACGAACTCCAAGCTTTGGGCTGCAGATCCGGTGGACACTGCTGGCTTCGACTCGGAGCACTGCGGCGTGGGCATAGTCTTCTTGACACCTGACAAACAACCTCTGATCACAGGCTGAGTGTTCAGGGTCGTCGGTTTGGGGTCACAGCGTGGGCGCAGTAGCATGCCCGATGGTGGCCTCACGTATAGCTTGAAGTGCAGCCGCATCCAAGCTCACTTGAGGGCCTCCGGTATCCTCGCACTCAGCGGTTCGGGCCTAGGGTGAGTCCGTGAAGCGGCGGTTGAGGGTTGAGGCTGTTGAGGGCATTTTCGCCTTTGCGTAAAGCGGCCCGATCGACCCCTGGTTATGCCAGTTGGATGCCGACCAGGGGTGCTCTGACACCCCACTGCCTTGGTAGTCTTGGTAGTTTCTTAAGTCAAGACTCTGCTTCCGCTGGAAGACAACAGCTGCCAGGGAGTCTGCAGCGTATGCGGCTCCTTCATATTCACATGTCTTCCCCTCTTCAGGCGGCGTAGGTGTGGGGTTTTGGTCGGGTGGAAAGAGTTGTGGTGGAATGTCGGGCTGGTATGAGTGGATACCCCTCTTTCCTGCCTGACCCACCCTCAGCATGTCGAGCTCCAACCCACCTCCAACCCTGAAGGTTCTTCTTGCAGTTCATTGCAGCCCAGAGCAGTACGCGTGTCTGCTACAGCATTCGGGTCTTGTTCTGGCTTGTGCTTTTGATGAGTGTGATCGGGCATGAGAGGCTTGGTTTTGAGGAGATCATGTACACGGCTGCGTGTTGGCATGTGTGGCCAACTCGATGCACAGATGTTATCAAGTCCAGCCGCCAGCCGATGAAGCTTCCCACCGGGCCCTTGAAACAGCCTGCTCTCTTTCTTATCGAAAAGATCCAAAGATCTGGGGCTGTTTCAACCAGACCGTTTGCCAAAGCTATTTGACGGCAGTAAATGGCAGTAGCAGCAGTTGACGTCCTATTCACGGGCCCAAGCCATTCCAGGCCCTGGCGGGGGCATTGCGAAGAACAGTCAAGTTCAGCGCTGGAGGCATGTTCAACCTGACTTGGGCGTGCGTGTGTAAAAAGAAGTGTCAGGTCTGAGAGGGCCTAATAGGATGAGAATGCGTGCTAGGGTTCGTTGAGCTCCGACAAAAGAGCATGTCGAGAAGTGCTTGACTCATGTGTGAGCAAGAGCCCCAAACCCCCCTCCATTCAAGGGAGCGCATGCATCACCCACTACAAGCTTGATTGTTTCCAAAGCGACACCTTCAGACATGGAACACAGATGTCTGATGCCAAAACCCTGTAAAGCGACGGGAACACTTGAAGAGCGAGACTTCCTATGTTGCGTCCATTAGCACAACCAGGGGGTTTTGGCAGCCGCTCTTGTCTACACCTTCAGACATGGAACACAGATGTCTGATGCCAAAACCCTGTGAAGCGACGGGAACACTTGAAGAGCGAGACTTCCTATGTTGCGTCCATTAGCACAACCAGGGGGTTTTGGCAGCCGCTCTTGTCTCCCCCGGTAGGGGGCCTAGAGGGAGCCTGGCACGCCGCAGTGCGGTCCCAAGCACTGGCCGCTTGGCCGCGGCCAGGCCTTCGCTGCTTCGATGCCTCCGATGCGTTTCTGTGCTCTTGAATCGCGTAGATCGTTTCAACACCATTTCGTTGGCAGGAAGTCTTCCTTTCTGCACAGCGTGACCCAAGAAGTGGGTGGCAGTGGAAGGCTATAGCCATACAATCTGGCCGCCAAAACTCGCTGCGTGCCGACAGATGACGGCCCCGTTTGGTCCCTCCCGCAAGTCTCCTTCATTGTCATGAAGGCATCAAAGGCATCAAAGGCATCAAAGGCATGCCTCGTCTCCAGCACTGTGGGGGCTCCGTGCGATGAAGCTCTGGGATCGCCACGCGACTTGACAGTATGTGAGCCAAGCGCTGTTCTAGCCAGTGTTTTCAGCTATGCGCAACGTTTGATCGCACCGCCGACTTGCTCCAGCCCTACCTTATGCCGCATGCCCCGAACTTTAGAGTTTGTGGCCAGCTGCTTCTTTCGAGCCGTCTGCAGAGCTGCGCCTGCTCTTCCTCCTCCTTTTGGCTGTGGTGGGGGATCTTGGACCTGTAAGCGCCTCGTGACGTCCACGTTTCGGGAGATCTTCCACAGAAAGTTTGTGCACTCTAGGAATGAAGTATCTCGAAGTTGGCAGCCGTGATGGAGCACGGAGTTGTCTTGCATTTGGAGAAGTCGATGGCTTTCGCAGTGCCTTTGCAAGGGAGAGGCCTGGCCTGAGAGTGCGTCGTTCCTCTAAATCCTCGCGAATGTCAGCGTGAGTGCTATTATTCTTCTGAGTGTGGGGTTCCCAGAGTACTGCTTGCCACGCAATGGTCTCGCAGTACTGCCGCTCTCTAGACCGCGGACGTTGGGAGAAGTTGCTAGGCATGCTTTCGCAGTGCTTTGGCGAGGAAGGCATGGCGTGAGAGAGGATTGTTTCTTAAAACCTTCAGGCCTTTAGGCATGTCAGTATGCGTGCTCCTTTTATTTGAGAAGTCATGTTGCCATCTAGTACACTGCCCTCCCCGCCTATGTGAGCTACAGGTGCCGCCCAATGTGAGGGCGAACCGCAAGCTGATCTCTGTTCAGTTGAGATGCCCAGATTCCACTCCTGGACTGTGGAGGTCTACTAGTAGGTGCAAAGTGGCACTTCCTCTGGGCCTGCAAGATTGCAGGCTGTCCACTGTGGGGTGCGGGGATTAACTTTGTTTTCTCACATAGGGTTGTGGCCTCCTAGGGTCCAGGTTTCACGTGCCATGCTGCGCACTGTTTTGTGTGGGACCCCCCTGGAAAGGCATTAACGAGGTCTGAAGGGGTCCGGGTCCGCGAGAGTTGCCGACCCTCGGCTGCTGCTGGTGGAGCGGCTCCTTCTGAAATCGCGGACCTTGCGGACGGTCGAAAAAGGGCCCGACTCGGTTTTTGACTGGGAGGAGGGGAGGAGGTGTGTGTCCAACATGCATAAGAAGGGCGCGACAAGTCAAGGTTGTTCCTTCTAGGCTCCAACCTTGGCTGGATGTGGTCATGCGAAAGCAAGAACATACGATCTTTCGCCGCGGATGACGTCCAGGCTGATTTTTGGCATGGCTCAGTGGTCGTGAAGATGATGGACTCGCTGTCGTTTGGGTTTGTCCGGTGTGTGGGCAGCTGGTGGCCAGAGACATACTCCTTTCTGACCTCGACGACCTCGACCATGGGGGTTTGCGGGAGTTTGGAGGACTTGGGGGGCTTTGGGGTGGAGGTTTGGGGTGGCTGGGCTCCGGTGGAACACATCAAAGAGGGCTCAGCATTGGTGTGCAAGCTCGACTGGAGGTGAAGTGCGCCTGAAACCGGCCTTTCCGCGGTGCGGGCGCTTTGTGAAGAAGCGGGGACGCAGCGTGGGCAAGACATGTGACAGAAGGTGGGGGGGCTGACTTCGCCCGTGATGAAGTAGCCTCGGCCATGCAGTCGCCCGTCCACGCTTTGCTCCTTTTGTGCGTGGATTCCAGCTGGTGCGCAGGGTGGCTTATGAGGCCGGGTCGGTTGGGAGGGAACAATCAGATCTCAAGGCCTGTAGGTCTGTCCAGAACAGTCGCTAGCGCCACTTTGTACGAGGCATTCCTATACCAGAAGCCACATACAACAACTACATCCGTGGTGACCCTAGTGCAAAAGAAGCCTGCACCCTTGACAGAAGCTCTTGGAGACTCAGACCCTTTGCGCGAGGGGACCGAGCAGATGAACCTGTTGAGGTCAGTACCCCTTGCAGTGCGCTTTAGGACTTTAGGGGTTCAAAAAGCCCTGATGTTTTCGGCCGGTACTGCTTTTGTTCATGCTTGAGTGACCTCGAAGCCAGAGCTTACGAGCTCGCTTGCCTCGTGTGCATCGGATTAGAAGGCCTTTTGCCCAATCGTTGCCCTTCTTGTTGCGCCACTTCCGAGCCCTTGAGGCCAATCTGTTCAGAGGCAGCGTTCGTTGGGAACGCCTTTGATTCGAGGGTGCGAGAGCGATCAACAGCCGCGATGCAGTAGATGGCATGACAGCCGCTCTTGTTTAGGGGAAGGCGAGGGGCTTCAAAGGCCTTCGGAGAAGGGCCCCATTTTGCCCTGAGATAAGCCTCAGATATTTGCAGACCCAGGGCCCTGCCATCTTTGCGTCGTCCCGTTTGGCGGACATCAGGCGCTCGAGCGACCCGGGGCTCACTGCGTCGATCCTTCGTTGATGATAGCTGTATTCTTGAATCTTTGCGGTTGTTTGGGCTTGGGGGAAGGACCTGACCTTGGTTTTGCAGGAGCCGCTGTTACGTGGGTGGCGTTTCCACAGGATTTCTGATATTTCTGTAGATGGAACCCAATTTGTGCCATGCCGACGCCGGCTTACCAGGTCCGTGTCTCACTTGCAGGTACCTGCGTGGCCGGAGCTGTTGGTGCACAGCCCCCAAGCACCCGTGGAGGCACGGCCCGCACGACGTCTGCTTGCACTCTTCCTGCTCACATAAGATACCAACAAGGATGAGGAAGCCACCGCTCGAGTTGGAGACCTGGCATGTGGGCATTGTGGGGACTGTGGGCCGTGCCCGAGTGCGCCTGCGCGCACATGGGCCGCCCGGCTTCTTGGGTCGCTGTGCCCGAGTGGCTGAGTCTGCATACACCCCTTCTATCACTTCAATCACCTCCATCGATGTGCTGATTTCATGTGATTCGCATCTCAGCATGGCTGAGCCAGGGTGCCTTGCAGAAGCCTGAGCCCTGCATCGGAGCGGAGCATTAACGGTCCATTGACCGCAGGCAACGGAAGCGTAAGTTCAGGTTTGCAATTGTTTGCAATAGCTTCCCGCGGCAGGTGCTTACCCCCAAATGTTCGGCAAAAAACTGTCGGGCAGCGGGCGCTCGTGAAGATTCAGATGCGGATGCTGCCCCAAGTGGCAGAAGGCGGTGCATGAGGATCGTTACGGTTACGAGCATGTGCTGGGTTGTCATCCCCGGGTGTGCAACTGGCGTGCAGCCTGTTCCCGAAGACTGCGGGAGCTCCCGAGGTCGTCACTTTGCTGAGCTAATGTTTGGGAAGTGGCTGCAACCGAAGGCAGTCACTGCAATGGCAGAAAAGAAAGGACAGCAAGGACAACAGAGGGGCAACCGTGCCAGTTCCTAACCTTCTGAGCTACGAATTACAGGGCCGAATGCTTGTAGGTGGCGAGGCGCAGCATGGACATTCGGACCTGTGTCTGACGAGTGAGTGCCGGTCTTGAGAGATGTCTTTGCCTTTGTGCCTTTGTGCTTTTGTGCTGTGTGCTTCCCGGGCTGTTGTCCGCTCTGTTGACGTAGGGACGTGCATCTGGAGGACCCGCAGTGCCCCGCGAGGAGCGCCAGGAGAGTGTTTCTGAGCACAGCCAGTAGATCTACTTAAAGGTCCTAAAAACTTCCAAACCCTTCGTATCAAACCCTGAACCCTAAACCCTAAACCCTAAACCCCAAACCTTAAATCGCAGATGTTTCAGAATCTCGGCTCGCCGGGGATCCAGGGCTTCTTCGGGAAGGCGGAGGTCCCCCGGCTTCGTGATCAGGCACCGCTCCGCACTTTTGAGGCAACGCCGGCTGCGGCTTCAAGAAGCTGTTGCCTTCATGCAAGGTGGTTTGTGTTCAGTAGCCAGCGCTTGACAAGGATTCCTTGATTCGAAGAGGTCTTCAGATGAGAGAACCTCTTAAGGGAACACGTAGATTTTGGCTAGTATTGAAGTTCAGACCAGCCCGCAGCCGCGGCTGCAAAGGCGTCCGCAATTTCTTCCGAAGTCGACCCCGGAAGACCGAACCCCCAACATTCCCCGCTTCGCGCCCGCCACAAGGGATGCCCTGAGATGCCGGGGTGCCAGCACTCTGATGGCCTGTCTCGAACGCGGCTCGCGCCGCGAACTCCGGAGTTCACGGCCCCCTGTAAGGATCCCAAGGATCCCAAAGGCAGCTCCCAAGGCAGCCCGAAGCGGGAGATGGACGTTGCATGGCTTTGCAAGCCCCAGTGTGCCCAGTGTGCCCAGTGTGCGCAGTGTGCGCCGGGCGCCGAGTACGTCTTCGATAGCGGCTCTGTCCGTCGCATCCACCCTCTCTCGACGGTGGTCGTTTGGGGCGCGGTTGCAACGCAGGGCACGGAGGGGGCGGCTGGCCCAGTGATCGGGAGCCGTCGCCTTTCCCTGTACTCCGTAGCTTCTGGGCCAGGCTTCGTAAAGAAGCGCAGGGCGAAGGGGACAGGTGTTAGTTCGATCCGCTGGGCTGTGGCGCGGGCTTGGAGCGCTCCTGTGCATGTAGAGCATGTAGAGCATGTAGAGGCGCGCAGCGCAGTGCTGGCTGTGATGCATGTACGTCTCATGGGAGACCGTGCTGGGTTCCAGGCTGAGCGAGCAGTCCGAAGACGGTGTCCTGGCATTTTGATTGGCCCGGGGCTTGCATGGCCTTGCCCCGCTTAATTTGCAAGTTCGTTGTCACGGCTGGCAGTCGCTGTCACGTGAGGCCGGCGAGGCCTCCTGGGGATAGTCCCTGGCGGGTCGATCACTCGAGGTATTCATGTCTGTTCCTTCCCTCCTGTGGTCTGTCTGGCTCCAGTGCTCCTGGCAAGCAAAAGGAAGGTCCGGTGCTCCTGGCAAGCAAAAGGAAGGTGAGACGAGTCATAGCACCTTTGCGAATTCACCGGCGTCAGGGCGGCCTTGGACAACGCACTGCTCGTTCCCTCCATTCCCTCCGTTCTCTCCGTTCCCTCGATTCCCTCCATCGCGGTGGGAGGTCAGCGCCAGTTCACGCCGCTCAGAGGGGAGCTGGGAGGACGTGGCTGCGACTGTTGACCGGTATGACATGTTACGACCCAGCCGTGTGGGGCCTTGCTGGACTCAAGGCCTGCAAAGCTCGGATCCCGGCTGGGAGGCTGAGATGCAGGAGATCCGGGAGGCTTCGGGCTCAGCTCGTAGACCGCCTTCCACCGCCTTTGGCATTGCGGCCTTCGGCTTTAGTCGGAATATGGCGGGGGGAAGTTAGGGAAGAGGTCAGAATCTGATGAGCCTGCCTGCGAGCGGCCACTGTCAAGTTGTCAAGCCGCTGCACATGATTCATCATGATTCCATGCTTGGAACATCTTGGAACCCTCAGCATGCCGCACGACGAGTCCACGTGTGTTCCATATCGTGCATGCCGGTCTGTCTGAGGTCTGGACATGTGGATTCGAGAGTTGAGCTTTGTTGAATGTGACCCTTAAAAACAGACAGGCTAAGACAGCTAAGATGATACGGCAAATGCGAAGCCAGCAGATCCTCTCCAAGTTGCTTGCGACAAGCCAGGTGAGAGTTCGTGGGTCGTGTCTCTCGTATTCCGATGCATGCATCGACCTGGATGATCGGCAGCTGGCGACGGTTCTCGGGGATTCCTGGGGACTGCTGGAGCCGCAGACTTGCTCTCACCATCACGCGAAAGCCAGAAGACATTCGGGTCTTCTCCAGGCAACGACTTTTCACTTGGCCGCCTGGGCATGCGCTGGTCCAAAGATGCGATGCCGCTGGGGGTGGTTGTGCTCAACCTGGCAGTACTTTCGTTGCATCTCCCCTGAACATTTTCTCAGGTCTCGCAGCTTCAGGCGCGCAAGAGGTCGCTAACGGCAGGGTGAAAAAGAGGGCAGGGACATCCTGCTTCTTCTGCCGGGAGGTCTGGGAGCTCTCCCAGGGCCTGGCCGGGATCTGTCAGAGCGACACGCCGCAGGCAACGGGAGCCGGGAGATTCGCGGCAGCGCTCGGTGAAAGGTTCAGAGGTTTAGGTCTGGTCCAGGATCAAAATTCAGGGCGGCAGGTCCTTCTGGTGTTTTACTATGCCCGTGGCCCAACCTTCTAGGCCCTAAACGAACCACTCCCGCTGTAAATCGAGGGCCATAGCTTTGAAAAGCCATCGGCCAAAGCCAGCAGAGCCCTCAGTTCCGACTCGCAGCTGTATGGCCAAGGGAGGTCCCACACCAAAGGCCCCAAAGGCCCCAGAGGTCCTCGTGAACCTTCGGGAGCTGTCTCCGCTGCGCGCTGAGCTGTGGAGTAGTTAAAAGGGAGAGCGGAGGAAGCGTAAGAGGAAACAGGGATCTTTCGTGTGAGTGAGTCAGTCACCAGAAAAAGTCAAGACAGTACCGTTAGCGTACATGTGTCGTTCGCTCGCACTATTCGCTCGACTCGCTTGCCGTGCTCCCTCGTTCCCCACTCCTTTCGCCACTTCACGCGTACGTAATCCCCAATTGCATGGTCCAGCAGTGAAGCTGAAAAGTACACGAGTGGTCACGGGATTTGCCCACAAGTGTTGTATGCCCCCATTCGTGCTGATGCTCTTGATGTCGCACAACGCGTCATTGAGCACTGTTTGGGATCTATTGCTGGCTTGTTTTGGTAGTGGACTCCCGTGCTCAAAGCACTGTGATTCACAACGCTGCAGCTACAGCAAACTGTGCTGTGTATCCTGTGTGTCACTTGCACTTGTTTATTGCGCTGCGCATGTGGAATCATGTCACTTTTGGATTGAAAGACAAGAGTAAGAGAACTTAACGACTGAGAGGGCACATGATCGGCACGTGTTCAAATCGGAATGATTTGACTGTTTTCCTTGACCACAAGAAGCTTCGCTGATTTTGTTGTCGAAAGCCTGTCACCGGCTGTGAGTGACAGCTGTGGAGTCCCCATACTCCCGCCCATCCGCCCCCCCCAACCCCCCCCCCCCCCCCCCCCCCCCCCCCCCCCCCCCCCCCCCCCCCCCCCCCCCCACCCCCCAACCCCCCACCCACTCCCCCGCCCATGTGCACAGTCCACCCGGATGCTATTGACGTGACCACGATCCCGTCACAAGCGACCGAGACAAAGTGGGTGCGGGGAACGGCTGTGCGGGACAGTTTTCGCCAACATTCCCTGCCAAATAAGGAGCGCGGGCGGTAGCACATTTGCAACACACCGGAACAAACTTGCATCTTTGCAACGTGCGGTAGTTGTAACGGATTTTTTTCTGACCCGCTTTGTGTTCGCGGTTAACCGCGAGCAGCATGTCAATCAAGGCGAACATCCTATCTGAATCTCACCACAATCCGAGCAAGTACTGGCCGATCCAAGTTTACAGTCCCCACATATCAAACATGCATCTCACGTCTTTCGACTTGTACCTGTAGACGGACAAGCGTGTGCAGCTCATGTATCGGATGATTTGCCATGGCAGTTGTGCGGTAAGGCCTGGGAAGGCCGCGCACAGTTGCACTGGTGGTTGCAAGCAGCATCTTTGTTCTTCTGACATCACGTGGGCTTCAGCTCGTTTGCCAAGGGGGATGCATGGTGGCTTTTGTTCCGTCCACTGTCCAGTCTCCAGGTACGTTTCCATGATGTCATCGCACGTCCTGCGCCAAATCTTGGACCAAGTCCTGGGCTGAATGGCCGTGAAGTTCGGCAGCCCAGCTTGGAGGGGTAGGGGTGCCCGACGCTCAGCAGAGTGTGGCACCAGTTTGTCAAGGACTTTTTGCGCTTGGGTCAGCCGACCTCCATTGTGCTGACATGTTTCGGGGCTTTGGTGCTGCTTAGCATCTGACACGGGTCCAGGCTTGCTCCCAGGGCCTTGCATGGCTTTCCGGGACTGTAGCTTTGGGTCTTGTCCTGCGTAAGAAAGCCCGGGTGTTGGATGGGCTCCGGTTGCAGCCGCCCCAGAGGATGAACTCCGGGAGTTCTTGGGGTTCGAGGTGCCGGGGAGTCTTATCGCTGCTGCCAGTGCTGCAAGGGCTGCTCCTTGCTTGGGCTTTCTCAGGAGCAGCAGCACTCTGCAGATTCGACGGACCCGCAGCTCCCCACGTAGAATGTTGTGGTCAAACCGAGTCAGGACACCCCCTCAAGCCCCGAAACTCCGAACCATGCAATCCCTGCAGCCGCTACAACCTGATCCTGATCCAGGGCTGAGTTCCGCGGGCATGAGATGAGTATGCAGTGAGCGATTCTGCGCCAATCGCCAGATCTCCCGTCCGAAGAACCCGGTCACAAGAAGCGAACAAGCCCCACCGCTGGATTAGGAGGTGCGGCAGTTTTCGAGTTGGGATTGCTGGACTTGGAGTAAGGCCCTGAACCTCAAAACATGGCTTCATCTTAGGTTTGTTCATCACTTGTTTTCGGTTTCTTACTGAGAACTGGAAAAACAACATGTTCGGCTTTAGGAATTTCTTTAGAGAGCCACGTTCAACCCTTGGGTTTGTACAAGGGTCTAGCCCGGCATGTCTAACTGCCTCACACAGTCTCTGATTCCCATGATGATTCGCTCGGCCTTGTCATCGGGTCTGAACCCTAAGCCCTAAACGTTCGGGATCCCTTGTTGCAAAGCGCTAATGTGCCAGCATTCGAAAAGCAAAGGACACAGGCTGTTGTCATGGCTTCCAACTCAGTCTTTACTTTGCCCGGACACTCGTCCCGTCGCCTGTGGGCTTCGGAGTGCGATGTTTCTTGGCTCCTCACAGGCCGCCTGCCGGACGTGGCCCTGTAGCCTTGCGCCGCTGCTATGGGCGGATCAGGGCTCGACCAGCAGACCGGGGGGCCAGGGGGGCACACCAGTGCATGTCTCAGTCGCAGTGACCTAGTTGTATATACACGGGGGCCCTCCGTAAGTGGTAGGATTCTATTGAGCGTGGACTAGTGCGTCAGCTTGCGGCAGCTGCCAGTCGTCCTGGAAGGCCTTCCCCGGCTAGCGCTGCATTGGTTTGAGCCTCAAGAAGGCTCATGTCTGCTTCGGCCAATTCGGGCCCGAGCAAGTAAGCCCCATGAGCCTGTTAAGGATCCTGCTGAGAAGGCCGGGGATGGCAGAAGAGGGAGGAGGTGCCAGGATAGCGCGGTGCAGCATGCGCCAAAAACTCAAGGAGTCTAAGGAGCCAAGTGCCCCAGTCATCGCAGAGATGAAGTGGAGGGAATTCAAAAAGTGGTGCTCCACTTCTTGTGCTCTGCGTGTTGGCTGTTGCGTCCATGTTCGGGTTTGGGAAGTCCTTGCTGTGCAGAGCATCTTCGAGATTCGTTGCAGCTCTGCAGAGCACCAGCACAGATTCCCGTGCCCTCGGGTCTGACAGACTTGGTTCTAGACTTTTCTCTTTCCTAAGCTGACCTTCTTTCTGCCCGTGTGATCCCGGGAACTTGGCGGTGTGTAGCTTGGCAGCCCACGTCAATCTCATTGTGCCTCACGCGAGCGTGCCCATGATCATGGCGCTTGTTCATGGGGGTGGCATGCGCCTTGGTACGCCGCACAATCTTGCATTGGCAAGCCCCTCCAGTGTGCACCAGGACATGTGCAATGGCGGGGGCTTCCTGTGTTTTCATGCCACGTTTGGGTCTTGCTTCAGCATGCCCCTGTTTTCCGCTCGTTAATGGTCCCAGGCATCCCAACGGGAGGTCGTTGTCAAAGCTTACCACGACTTCAATGTCAGGGGCCTGTGCTGCTAAACCCCTGAAACCCCCTCAGTCCCCTTCCTAATTTGGCTCCCAGGCCTTGATGCCAGCGCTTGACAACGGAAAGCTTGTGGCGTCTGCGCCCCCTGAAGACGTACAGGGGCTGCAAGGCAGCTTCCGTGCCCGTGTTCCTGTCCCCATTGTGCTCGCTGTGCCCTTTATGCACTTTCTGCTCTTTCTGCTCGTTTAGTTGCTCTTTCTGCTTTTGCTTCAGCAGAGCCCTTCCAGCGCACGACTTGCAGGCCTGTGAAGGGCTTGATGTTTCTTTCTAATCCAACAGGCACTGTCGTCACATGTGTCTGCACATGGTGAACAAGCGCCTTTGCACAACAAAATGTGGGATTCTGCAAGTTGCCATGTTCTGCAGTGTGCAACGCATCCAGCATCCAGCCGGGTGAGACTTTGCATTCTGTGTTGTTCAAGCTTTGTACGGCCCAAAAATCACAAGTTGAAAGTTGAAGGGCATCAGAGAGCGGTTGATAGAAGGCAAATCATGCAGCCTAAGAACATGCAGCCTCCCAACATGATCAAAGCAACGCTCAAAGTGGGCCTTTGTGAAGCTCCTCTCTGCAGCCAGACAAGCAGCAGAGTTCCTCGACGATGGCCGCTTAAAGAGGTGAAAACTGTTGGCGCAAAGCTGTCGCCTCTCACGCTGCACCAATCCAGAATGTCTGCAGCTTCTGCATGCATGTCTTGAAAGTTTTCGAATGGAGTTGGTAGACACGCCATGTACGGCACCGCACTCGCTTTGTTCTGCTGTGCCACATCCAACTCTCGTTTGCCTGCATGAACGGCTGCTGGGCCACTTGCGACAAAACAAGAACCCCTAGAACCATGGACCCAGACGGTAAATTCAGATCTAAGCCGTGCACCAGGCCCTAAAACCTAAGGCGCACAGGCAGACGCCCGACTACTTTTGTTGTCGACGCCTCGAAGACGAAGCCGTGCAAGTGCTGCAATGCCATTCCTTCCTGGAGAATGATTGCGAGGGGGGGAGGGGGCTAAATGATTGCGAAATACCACAATCTTTTTTCGTCCCCCAAAATGATTGCAAGGGGCCACGTGATGTGCGTTTCAATGGGGGTCATTGACTTAAAATGATTGGGGACGGGGGAGGGGTAAACATTCTGAGTGAGACATGATGCTGCAATGTTACACTTCGCAGTGCTGCTGGTCTCTTTCCAAGCTGCAATCGCCACATGCTTGCCGGGGAGAAAGGGAGTGACAGAACGGCATCTTCCCAAACCCGAAGTCTGCTCTCCGAAAGGTCTTCCGCTCCAGGGCTGCGAGTTTGCCCCGTAAGGGTCAGAGGGGGCCGGCCTTTGCGATTAAGTTGTCTAGATCTATCAGGTGACATTTGATCAGTTTTTTCATACTGCCAGTTCAGTCGCGTCATTTAGACTC